TAGTAGCACATCCACTGGAAAGATAGTGAACATCTCCTCCCACCTGGGACCTCCAGGTGCCTGGTTCCCCAAGATTACATTCGACCTCTGAGACCTGCTTGAAGAAGCTTGGGAATCGTACACCCCCCCAGGCACTGTAAATTATGCTTGCCAGTCTCCCCTTGGCTGAAAGAGGATGAAGAACCACCACTTCTATGTTTGCCTGTGTGACAATGGTGACTGAAGTACTTGTGGGGGGCCAGAGGGCTATTTCTGTGCTTCATGGAGCTGTGTGTCTACTGGATATATTAATTGGGTTGCCCCCATCACTACCGACTTGATCCAGGTAACTGAGGTCCCAGGCCTAACCCTTTGGTGAAACCCCAGATCAAGGCAATTCGAGGGATCCTGTTCCTCCTCTAGATGCAGCCCTATCTCCTTGAGCTGCACCCCAAAAGGAAAGGAACTTAAAAACCTACAAAAATGGATTGATGGGCGAACTTGGGGCCTCAGGTTATACACCACAGGGACTGATCCAGGAATACTTTTTTCAGTCCATCTTCAGGTGGGTCCAGTCTTGGGGATCCAGATGGGGCTGGCTCAGACAGTGTTACAGCCTATAGGACAACCAACATCGTCCTTAACTATTTTTAAATCAGTCGAGAGGCCAGCTCCTAACCAAATTGTCCGACTGGATAAAACTGCTACTTTGCCCACACCTAGATCCACACCCCCAGAGATCCAAGGAGTCCAAGAGCCCTTACAGCCATTCCCTGGGCTTATGAATCTCCTAAATGCCACCTTTATTGCTTTAAATACTTCCCCTAACCTTACTATCTATTGCTGGTTTTGCATGGACCCAAGCCCCCCCCCTTTTATGATGGCTTAGCTCTCCCAGGAAATTATGTTGTCACTTCTAACCCCACTGCCTGTAGAATCCCCCCGCCTACAGGGAGAAGGGGGCTTACCCCCACCCAAGTGTGTGGAAAAGGTCTATGTGTGACTTCCTCACATAAAATTGTCCCCCCTTCTTACCAACATCTATGTAACTCTGTTCAAGAGATAGGGGCTGCTACACCTAACCCATATATGGTGCCCCCCAACTCCACTTGGTGGGCCTGTACCTCTGGCTTAACTACATGCCTCCACTCATCCATTCTTAACCAGACTGGGGATTTTTGTGTACTAGTGCAGCTAGTTCCCCACCTATATTATAGAACAGACATAGAAATGGAAACCAGAGTCTCAAAAGAGTCTAGACCTCGTAGGGCCATAGGAACCACTGCAGTTGTCTTGTCTACTCTACTCAGGGTTGGGGTAATCACTGCAACTGGTCTGGGGGCTTCAGTGCTAGTCTTCCAGGATAAAAAATTATCACCTTCTTAGACAGGCCATAGACTTAGACATACAATCATTAGAAACATCTATCTGCCACCTTGAAGACTCTCTATCCTCTTTAGCTGAGGTAACCTTAACAAAATAGGAGAGGGCTGGATTTACTTCTAGAAAAAGGAGGACTCTGTGTTGCCCTAGGGGAACAGTGCTGTTTCTATGTTAATCACTCGAGGCTGATGTCTGTAAAAGACTCAAGAGAAAACGAATGACTAAATCAACAAAATTGGTACGAACCCCTATTTGACTGGTCCCCATGGTTAACAACTTTGATCTCAGCAATAGTCGGACCCCTCCTCTTACTCCTATTAGCAGTCACCTGTGGCCCCTGTATTCTTAATGCCTTGCTCAAATTCATCTGAGAATGGATACAGACAGTCCAACTGATGGTACTGCATTTGCAGTATACTCATTTAAATCGAGACCCTGAGCCTTACGACAATATAGAAATGGTTCCACTGCCCTAAATGCACAGTCTAACCACTTCTTTCTGCTGCTGTAATTTGCTTGCCTTAAAGATTTAACCCTTGCCATAACTCTAGGGGAGAATGAAGAGCCAGAATGCTCTGACTCCATTTTGGCTAGCTTCTTTAGACAATCCCAGACAAGCTTAGGCATATTGTACATGTAAAAGTCTTAAAAGGTATGAACAAAAACTTCTGATTCTAAAAGATATTAGCACATTCCAATGCCCTGAAGACAGCCCCTACCAATCGAGACTTTCTCTGTACACAGGATATGGGTCATCCAATTATTTTAAAAAGATGTTTGGCATGCACGGGTTTCTGGGGAGTGCCCCAAGAAAAGCTCCTGCCTGCTATTGTTTGGGGCCAGACTCCATCTTTGGCTCGTGAAGTCTGTGCCCGGATAGCCGCCATTTGGTTGTTGTCCTTTTTTCACTTTAAATTCTTGAATAAACTTTTTGTATAATCTTTTTGGGTATCTGTGGGAATTATTCTCGATTCTTGAACCCTAACATTGTGCGGGCTCATCCGGGATTCGAGAATAGAGATCCCAGGCCCATGGAAGTGCCACCAGAGCCGGCCTTGGTACGTTCTCTCTCTCTTGAAGAGCCAGAATGCTCTGACTCCATTTTGGCTAGCTTCTTTGACAAGCCCAGACAAGCACAGGCATATTGTACATGTAAAAGCCTTATAAGGTATGAACAAAAACTTCTGCCTCTAAAAGATATTAGCACATTCCAATGCCCTGAAGACAGCCCCTACCAATCGAGACTTTCTCTGTACACAGGATATGGGTCATCCAATTATTTTAAAAAGATGTTTGGCATGCACGGGTTTCTGGGGAGTGCCCCAAGAAAAGCTCCTGCCTGCTATTGTTTGGGGCCAGACTCCATCTTTGGCTCGTGAAGTCTGTGCCCGGATAGCCGCCATTTGGTTGTTGTCCTTTTTTCACTTTAAATTCTTGAATAAACTTTTTGTATAATCTTTTTGGGTATCTGTGGGAATTATTCTCAATTCTCGAACCTTAACACTATCTTATCATTTCATTGCATTTATAGTGTCTTAGAATTAAAAAAAATTTTTTTTCTTATTTTAATTTTAAAATATTTCATAAGCATTGCTTTCTTTAAGAAGTAACATGATCAGGGGGCTGGAGAGATGGCTCAGCGGTTAAGAGCACTGACTGCTCTTGCAGAGGACTCAAGTTCAATTTCTAGCACCCACATGGCAGCTATGAACCTTCCTTAACTCCAGTTCCAGGGGAATCCGAAGCCCTCTTCTGACCTCTGCGGCACTGCATGACATGGGTGCATTCACATACATGCAGACAATACACTCATACACGTAAAATAAAAATAATACAATATTAAAAAAATAGTAAAAAATAAAATGTGCCTGAGTATGTATCTGTGTTGGGGCATGTACACGAGTGCAGTTGCACATGGAGGCCAGAAGAGGGCATCAGTCCTCTGGAGCTAGAGTTATAAGTTGGGTTGGGAGCAACCAATGTTGGCTGAATTGGGTCCTTTATAAGAGACATACTTGCTCTTAACCACTGAGCCATCCCTCCCTCTCACTGCCTTCTAACATCTCTCAATATTTTGTTCCTACTGATGACGTCAACCACAGCTTACTAAGTTTAGCAGTGTGGGACTTCTCTTGGACTGACGTTCTTCCAGGCCAGGACTCTGAACTATTTTAGTATCTTCAGATTGCTGCAAACTCAACACAATAATTAGATGGTGTGATGGTTTGAATGAAAATTTCCCCCATAGGCTCCAAGTGTTTGGACATTTTGTCCCCAGATGATGGCACTGTTTTGGGAGGTTTTAGAAGGTGTGGCTATCCTGGAGGAAGCACATCACTGGGGTGGGCTTACAGAGTTCTTAAGCCTTGCCAGATCTCCAGTTGTTCTCTTGCTTCCTGTGCCTGTGTGATGATATGAGAGCTTAGCTTCTGCTGCTCCTGCTCCAGCCACCTCCAGCCACCATGCCTCCCTGCCATGACAGACTGTTATTATCCTGGAACCGTAAGTTCAAGTAAACTCTTCCTTCTATAAGTTGCTTGGGTCAGTGTTTCTATCAGAGCAACAGAAAAGTGACTAATACAGATGGAAACCACAATACATGTGGTCAGATCTCACAAGTCTTTTGCTCTACCAGTTATTACATGTTCAGTTATTTCATCAACAAGTAGTTGAGTGTTTGCTCTATGTGAGACACTGCACTATGCACTGGTCACAGAACTCCAGAATGCATAGTAATTCAGCAAAGAGCCTAACCTAATGATTCAGTAAGAACCACCAGGCTTTTGGTGGAAAGGGCTTCTTAGGCAATTCTCCTTTCTCTTGTAAACAGTAACTTGTGGGCCTAAAATGCTACTTTCTATCTTTGTTCTAGGGCCAAGAAAGAAAGGGAAATAGGACATGCCCAAGCCCTGCACCTACTACATGAAACAGAATATCATGATGAGAAATAACAGGGCTAGCAAAATGGCAGAGTAAAGAGCTTGCTGTGCAAGCATAAGGACCTGAGTTCAGATCCCTGCCTCCCATGTAAAAAGCTGGACGTGGTGGCATGTGTTTGTAATCATAGCCCTGGGGGAGGAGGAGACAGAAGGAATCCAGAGATTGAATCCAGAGATTTACTGGATTCAGCAAGTCTAGGTTCAGTGAGAGACCCTGTCTCACAAAATAAGGTGAAGAGTGACAGAGGAAGATACCCAACATTGACCTCTAACCTCCACACGTGCACAGACTGGCACACACATACAAACATGCATATATACCACACACACACACACACACACACACACACACACACACACACCAAAAAAATTAATTTGAATATAGTACAATGGTATATAATCATTCTTTTGAGGTACAAAAATAATTGTAAAAGTTATTTTTTTCCATTTATAAGTAACATATGCTTCAGACTTTAAAGAGTACATTGATGCTGTAGACTGTACACAGTACACATCATCCCCAAGCCTGGGCCTTCTTCCCCTGGACCATCACCTGTGAGAACAGCCACGAGGCCAAGCCTGAAAACTTGTCACGATATTTCAGAAGCAACTATCCTTTTTTTGGTGTGGGGGGGGGTCTTTTTGAGACAGGGTCTCCCTGTAGTCCCAGCTGATCTGGAACTCGCTATATAGACCAGGCTGACCTCAAACTCACAGAGATCCACCTGCATCTGCCTCCCAAGTGCTGGGATTAAAGGTGTGCACCATCATGCCCAGCTAGAAACAACTATCCTTAATAACAGAACTTGATGTACTTCTCTTTAAACTAGGCTTCTTGTTTCTGACTCAACTTGTAGATTAAAAACTTTTAAAATATTAATCTAAAATTCTGTTTTGGGAATTAGCCACCTCCCACCCCCTACCCCCAAAGATAGGCATCAGAGAGAATCATGAATGTTAAGTTCAACAAAAGCTCATTTAAATGAAATCATGAATGAAAAAAATTTCAGGTTTAAGGAATTTTTAATGAGTAAGTCACTGGAAGACAGATTTTCCTGCCAAAGGCTACAGAGGAATTTATCTGTCTTCTGACTGCTCTGCTTTGCTGTACTTTAAGCAAGGTAAATTTTACAAGGATGATTCACAAACTCATAGCAAGTTCTGCCTATATCTGACCCACCTGGTCCCTTGGACACTGAGAAGCAGCTATTATTAAAAACATAGGAACAACAGAGTGAGGAAACGGGAAGCTTTGGCATGAGGAAACCACCTTTTTTTACTAGAGTTTGGTTATTGGGCCCATTTACTGTGATTTGTGTTCTGGACCAGTCAGATCTGAGCCTAATGTAAAAGATGGTACACTGTCTACCTTCCAAGCAGAGCTCAAGAACCCCTTGCAATTGACCAAAGGTGAAGGGTCCTGCGCAGCCACCGGTCTTCTCTCTCCTAGGCTGCTTTTTCTCTGGCCAGTTCCCAGCTTCTGTACAACTTTATCCAGTGGGAGGCTGGGGACAAGAGGAAGAACTAATGCAGTAATTCTAGAAATTCTTTCAGTTCTTTCCCTGTTCATTCTCTGTTCTACAAGAATGGCTCTGCATGTTCTAGACTTGTAACACTGTATACCTTAAACTTATAGAAAAATGTATATGGTGTAGGATCAAAGGTAATCTAATATATAAAAAGATTTCAGTGTATTTTCTGAAAAATAGGATGTGAGCCTGAGAATGCTCAGTTATAGAAGAGGTTTATGTTGTGAGCGCTCAGAAACATGATGAAAGTCTACCTGTTAGGTCCTTCAAAAGACCCTACACAATCCAAGGTTTATAATCATTACATCAGTAAATACCTACTGTATGTGCATGTATGTATAGAATATAAACATGTGTATATGTTTCAAGGCATATATAAAACCTTTGCAGCCCTATGTTCAAAAATTGATGCTTATTCAGCAGACACATTAAGAAAAAACTTACCTTGCTTTGTTACCTAAAATATGATGGAGAAGTGATACGATTATAGGGACACCATGTTTTGACAGTACTCACCTTTTAAAGACCTGCAGCACTCAACTTATTACATTGCAACATGTTATCAGCAGTAATTCAATTACTCAAAGAGTAATCCCATAAGCCTATGATATATTAATGACTGGACAGTTTGATAGAGGATCTTACTGCCATCCTTAGAATCACACAGCTTGTTAAGACCTCTATCCTCCCAAGATTCAGAGATGTATCCTTTATGGAATGGGATAATGTACAGAGATGACAGAAGATGGGAAAATGAGGGTTATTCTTTAGCATCATGATACTTGTTACTGCAGTGGGGAGAAAAGGTGATGAAATGCCAACATGAAAAGAGAAAAAGCTATCATGTTCTCCTTAAAGCCAGCAAATGACATAAAAATACTTGGAGTAATTTTGGAAGAAAGGCACCAGGTAAGTCCAAAGTGATTTTGCCAGTTGGATCACACAGTGGCCACAGCAGGGACTACAGAACTTTGTTCAGCCAGATGGCTAGGTCCACGCAAGTCAGTCACTCATCTTGAGGCTTGAAGAGCGAGGGAGGAAATGTCAATCAGACAGAGTCCTGTGTCTTATATTCAACTGGGGGAAAATGATTTCTGCCATTGTTCTGGTGTGGAAGCTAGTCCTTAGGATTAGGGCTCTCTGGCTATTTTAGATGGGCACTCTGTTTTCTTTGGCCCATTTCTTCATGATTCGGATGATGTACTCTACTTGGGTGTTTCCTGTGCTTCTCAGCAAATGGAGCACTTCTCGGAGAGTCTCTCTAAGAAAAAGTTTGAAGGAACAGAATGTCTCAATAAAGAAGGAAAAATCACACACACACACACACACACACACACACACACACACACAGAACTTTATAGTGTATTCTAGTGAGGCATTTGTGGTAATGGATTCCTCCACTGTGTGCTCATCAGCCCATTAAAAGTTGCCGGCACGGGGGCTGGAGAAATGGCTCAGCAGTTAAGAGTACTGACTGCTCTTGCAGAGGACCCGAGTTCGATTCCCAGCACCCACATGGCGGCTACGAACCATCCTTAACTCCAATTCCAGAGGAATCCAAAGCCCTCTTTTGACCTCCGTGGCATTGCATGACATGGGCGCGCTCACATACGTGTAGGCAATATAGTGATACACATAAAATAAAAAAATAAAATAACTTTTTTTCTGATAACTTCATGTACTCTTTCTTTCTTTCTTTCTTTTTTTTTTTTTTTTTGTCTTTTTGAGACAGGGTCTCCCTGTAGCCCCAGCTGTCCTGGAACTCACTATGTAGACCAGGCTGACCTTGAACTCACAGAGATCCACCTGCCTCTGCCTCCCAAGTGCTGGGATTAAGGGTGTACGCCACCATGCTCAATGGGTTTCTATTATGTTGGCATAGGAAAATGGAAATTTGGTGAAATCTTCATCAACCCAGTCTCCTTGTTTACCTGTAACATACACACACACACACACACACACACACACACACACACACACTCATAGCACTGAATTTAGGGTACTGTATTCAAATTCTGGCTCCACTGCTAAAAATTCTCTTCAATTTCTTCGTTTCAGGTGATACTTAAAAAAATTTTTATTTATTATTTTTATTTTATGTGTATGTGTGTATTGCCTACATGTAGGTAAGTGCACCCATGTTGTGCAATGGCCAAGGAGGTCAGAAGAGGCTGACAGATCCCTTGGAACTGGAGTTACAGACAGTTATTAGCTGCCATGTGGGTGCTGGGATTCGAATCTGGGTCTTTTGCAAGAACAGTGTTCTTAACTGCTGAGCCATCTCTCCAGCCCCTCAGGTGATACTTTTAAACTGAGTATCACTAGTATATTTATAACATTTTAAAAAGCCATAGGAATGGGAGGTTTCCTCAATAAATTTGCCCAAAAAGTGTTCAAATACAGTAATAAATATAGAATACCCAGTAAGGACTAAAATGCCTTTGGCAAATGCCTGGCATTTATGCTTTAATTAAAAATTAAACTTAAAAATTTCATTTTATTCTATTTATGTGTGTGCATGTGCCCCTGTGTATGTGTCTGTGTGAGTATGTATGCACATGTGTACGCAGGGGCTTAGAGGCCAGAAGAAGGTGTCGGATCCCTTGGAGCTGGAGTTATAGGCTTGATGTGGGAGTTGGGATCTGAACTCTGGTCCTCATGATTGAGCTACAAGTGTTCTTAGCCACTATGCCATCTCTCCAGCCCCAAATTCAAATTTATTACAACTGAGATTTTAAGTAATGCAGGCAAAAGCTTCCCTGTTGTTTGACCTGAACTCTAGGTGACTGCCTGTGGATCCACTTCACTTACAGTTATCTCGTTTCCTACTCCTTTTCTCCTGTGAGGAACTTCCTTCGCCTGACTAAAGTTTCGAACTTTTATTTAGGATTGGAAGTAGGTACAAGGCAGGAAATAATTTTTGATAATTTGATTGCAAAATTATTACATGTCTATCTATATGCATAAATCATAAATATATTACATGGAGTTATTTATAGAACACTGAATGAATTAATTAGCTTTCAGAGATAGGATCTCACTGCAGGCTGACTTTTATGGCCTTGACCTCAAAATCTGTTTCAGGCTCCCATGTGTCAGTATTCCAGGTATGCACCACCATGCCCAGTTCTGAATTTATTTTTAAGTATTTTAATTTTTATTCACATGGAATTATGAGCCTCTTAGTTTCATGTATTACATATCAGCATTTCCTGGAATATATAAAGGCAGAAGCAAAAACAGAATTATTAACCATGTCCACTCCATTCCTACTTTGAGGCCTAAATGAAAAGGCACAAGAAAAAGCCAAGAGGCAGAAAAAAGAGTGGAGGAATGAACACCATTCTGTTTATGAAATAGCTATTCATCTGGAACCAAATGCACACCTTGCCCTTACATTTGACAGCTCTAGTATATGTGGTGTCCCTAAGATATGACTTAGAGTGATTTGATTCCCATAAAGTAAGGCATTTCTGGAAGAAAATGACCACACAGAAATTTTAAATGATTTTTTTTTTTTTTGGTCTTTTTGAGACAGGGTCTCCCTGTAGCCCCAGCTGTCCTGGAACTCACTATGTAGACCAGGCTGGCCTTGAACTCACAAAGATTGTCCTGCTTCTGCCTCCTGAGTGCTGGGATTAAAGGCATGCACCACCATGCCCAGCTTAACTGAATATTTTTATCACTCTAATATCTATCTGAGTTTTCAGAAGATACCATCTTTTTTTTTGGGGGGGGGGTTGTTGCGGGTTCTCCTCAGGCCAGCTGTGAAGACCCTCAGAAGATACCATCTTTTAAAAAAATGTTTATTTATATTTTTATTTTATGTGTATGCATGTATTGCCTGCATGTAGGTAAGTGCACCCATGTCGTGCAATACCTACAGAGGTCAGATCCCCTGGGACTGGAGTTACGGACAGTTGTTAGCTGCCATATGGGTGCTGGGATTCGAACCTGGGTCTTCTGCAAGAACCACCAGTGTTCTTAACTGCTGAGCCATCTCTCCAGTCCATCTTTTTAACATTTTATTTATTATTTTTATTATTTTTTTTTATGTGTGTTAATATATTGCCTGCACATATGTTAAGTGCACCTGTGTCCTACAATATCCACAGAATCAGAAGAGGGCACTAGATCCCCTGGAACTGAAGTTAAGGATGGTTGTTTGCCACCATGTGGGTGCTGGGAATCAACCTCCATCCTCTGCAAAAGCAGCCAGTGCTCTTAACTGTTAAGACATCTATAAGCCCTCAGAAGATACTATCTTACACAGGGCTGCTGAATAGAGGTGGTTTCTCCCATTTGTTTACTTACTTGGGTTCTTTCCTAGCTAATATCATCTGGAAAATGCCCACGCAGGCACCACGCTTGCCTTCCCAGTACTCAGGGTTGGGATCCAGCCTCTCTAGGACATCAAAAGCTTTGGCTGAATAGTAGAACTGGCCCATCTGAACAAAAGAAAGCATGGTAGTAGTGCTGATATGGTCAAAAGACTGGACAGAATGAGACATGCAGACAGCGCACAACAGAACTGGATAAAGTAAATGCTTGGGGGATAATGACATTTGGGGTAAACGACCTAGGTACATTTCAATTCCTAGCTAACACCAGAAGGAAAATTGCAGATTTACTTTCATCTAGCTTACTGTCACTCAGTTTTCAATGATATATAGCATTCTTTCTATATATTGTCAAGTTGTGCTGCCATTAAGACATTTGCTTTTGCATAAAGGTGATTAGGATGTTCTGTAGGAAGTGCACAACAATTTAATAAAAAATATACATTGAAAAAAGAAAAAAAAGATATTTGCTATTTCTAATTATAGCCTACTCTTGTGAGAAACTCCTATGACTGGCTGAATTAGGTATTTCTCAAGTCTCTTCACCACATTCTTTTAGATGATTACCAGCATTCATTTTACACTAATCTGATCACATCCAACTCAAAAGAGTGATCTCTCCCTAATCTTAAATTCTTAGAATATTTGTGCAGATGACAAGTCTACACACAAATCTCTTTAATTCATTTTGAGACGTACCTTTCCCCAGCATGCTACATATTTCCTTGGCCTCATAGAACCTGCTGAAGACAAAATTTGCCTAGAAGAGTTTTCCTGATTGGCGATCAGAATGTATATTGTTACTAATTTCACTTAAGACTCCAGATTGTTGGGTGACTGCCTTCACTGCAGTTTAGTCACTTCTCTTTTTCTCCCAATACTTCTTCTCAACCTTGGGCAAATTCCTTAGATCTGTTCTGTATTCTTAGCTTACTCTGCTTCACAGGAGAACAGTTAGTTTTCCTCCCTGAAGCTCAGATAACACAAACTCACTTATCCCTTCTTTCTGCCTCACTCACAGGAACAAACATTCTTATCCTTTTTTTTTTTTAAACTTAAAAGAAATTTAAAATTTTTTTATTTTATTTTATGTGTATGCGTGTGTTGCCTGCACCCATGTTGTGCAGTGCCCGCGGAGGTCAGAAGAGGCTGTGGGATCCCCTGGGACTGGAGTTACCGACAGTTGTTAGCTGCCATGTGGGTGCTGGGATTCGATCCCAGGTCTTCTGTAAGAACAACCAGTGTTCTTAAGTGCTGAGCCATCTCTCTGAGCCCTGTTATTCTTATTCTTTTCACAGTTAATCCTTCTATGTTCACATTTTTTTGTTGTTGTTGTAAAACAATAGACACATAGAATGGCGAGTGAAACATTTATGTACAGCTTACAATATGTGACTACAAATGGGTCAACCACCCAGGTCCTGACACTGGGTCAAAACAAAACCTCTCAGAATATTCCTTCCAGGCCATAACCCCCGCTATCCCACCCAGAGGTAACTGCTAGTCCCACTTCTATGGTCATTTTTTTTTTTTTTACTTCTTTTTATCTTTTATCTCTGTGTCTTAAAATTGTTTTATTTCATTTATTTATTTATTTGTTTAGTGTTGGGAGGGTGCATGTGCGCCACTGTGTGCGTGTGTGCGTGTGCGTGTGTGTGTGTGTGTGTGTGTGTGTGTGTGTGTAGGTTGGATAACTTGTGGAAGTTAGTTCTCTCCTTCTACTATGTGGGCCCCAGGGATGAAACTGAGGTCCTCAGGCATGGTGGCAGTGCCTTGAGCCATCTCACCAGCCCTCTCTGCACCTTTTAAACAAGATAATTCAGTTTTGCCTCTCAGAATTTTATCTGTATAACACAATGCTTTATTTATTCTTTTGGGTCTTACATTTGATTCAAAATTACATTTTAAGGTTCATCTATATGATGGTTTGGTTTAAATTTTTTAAAATTTATTTATTTAGTTTTATTTACTTTTTTGGGGTGGGGGTTGGTTTTTTTGAGACAGGGTCTCCCTGTAGTGGGCATGGCCTGGAACTCACTATGTAGACTACGCTGTCCTTGAACTCACAGAGATCTGCCTGCCTCTGCTTCCTGAGTGCTGGGATTAAAGGCGTGCACCACCATGCCCAGATGCTTTTGTTTTTGAGACAGGGTTTCCCTATAGCCCCTGCTAGCCTCAAACTCACTATGCAGACCAGGCTGGCCTTTGTCTCACAGAGATCTGCCTGCCTGTCTCCTGAGTGTTGGTATTACAGGTGTGTGCCACCACGCCCAGCCTTATTATTAAAGATTTACATTTATTTATTTATTTATTTATTTATTTATTTATTTATTTAGTTAGTTAGTTAGTTAGTTAGTTATGTGTGTGTGTGTAGTGTGGATGCCTACAAAGGCTAGAAGAGGGTGTTGGAACCCTTGGAGCTGGGGCTACAGGCAGTTGTGAGCTGCCCAAATGTGGGTACTGGGAACCCAACTTAGGACCTTTGCAAGAGCAACAAGTGCTTTTAATTGTTGAGTCATCTGTCTAGCCCATGTTTTTAATTTTTTCCTAAGGAGTTTTCTTTTTGTTTTTAAATGTTTATTTATTTGTATGTATGTGTGTATATTTATGTGCACACATCTGCCATAGCATGTGTGGAGGTCAGAGGACAATTTGTGGAAGTCAGTTCTCTTCTTCCACCATGTGGGTCTGCAGAACCAACTCAGGTTGTCAGGCTTGGCAGCAAGTGCCTTTACCTGCTGAGCCACCTCAATGGCCCAGTTTGTTTCTTTGTTCGTTTTTGTTTGTTTGTTTGTTTTTTGGTCTTTTTGAGACAGGATTTCCCTGTAGCCCCAGCTAGCCTGGAACTCACTATGCAGACCAGGCTGGCCTCGAACTCACAGAGATCCACCTGCCTCTGCCTCCCGAGTGCTGGGATTAAAGGCGTCTGCCACCATGCCTGGCTCCCAGTTTGTATTTATATAATTTTAGATTCATAGGAAGTTGTAAAGATAGGACAGAAGTTTCCTATACCTCTCACAGTTTCCCCAATGGTTACAGCTTCTATAACTATAGTTCAAAATGTCAAAATCAGGAAATTGACAGGTACTGTGTTGATGACGGTCTATGCAGATTTTTTTTTTTTTTTTTTTGTCTTTTTGAGACAGGGTCTCCCTGTAGCCCCAGCTGTCCTGGAACTCACTATGTAGACCAGGCTGGCCTTGAACTCACAGAGATCTGCCTGCTTCTGTCTCCCAAGTGCTGGGATCAAAGGTGTGCGCCACCATACCCAGGCTGTTCTATATAGATTTATAAGTCCCTCTATCAAGATCCAAACTCCTCCATCACCACAGAGATTTCTCGTTTCCACTTTACAGCCATATTCAAGCCCCTCCCTGCATACTCACCATCTCTAATCTCTACCAACTAGTAACCTGTTCCTGATCTATATAAAGGTCTCAATTTCAAGAATGTTGGGGGGTTTTGGCGGGGGGTAGGTTTTTTTTTTTGGTCTTTTTGAGACAGGGTCTCTCTGTAGCCCCAGCTGGCCTGGAATTCACTATGTAGATCAGGCTAGCCTTGAACTCACAAAGATCTGCCTGCCTCTGCCTCCTGTGTGCTGGGACTAAAGGCGTGTGCCACCACACCCAGCTTTCAAGAATTTTTTTTTTTTGCAATAAATATACATGGTTTATTCAAAGTAGTTTGTCCAGCTCAATACCTTGATAATGAATTTGAAACCATTCACACGTCTAGTATTGACTTTGGTGCTACTTTCTCATGATGCCCCGCACAGATTTGACAGACACGGAGAACTGTGGGGTCTAACTAGCTACACAGATGTTGGCTTCCTTGCTCTCCAGGCTGCAGTGCCTTTGAGCAACTTACTTAACCACTCAGTCATCCCACCTATCCTAAAGATATTACAGTGGTATCATATCCTTCTTAGACTCTAGGTTCTTCAGGGACCAGTTTACTCAAAGTCAGAATCACGCTTAAACTCTTTAGGTCTTCATTAGCTGCCAGAACATCAGCCACTAGCAGTTACAAATCAAATGTGTTTTTTTTTCTTTTTTCCTTTCCTTTCCCTCCCCTCCCCTCTCCTCCCCTCCTCTATTCTTTTCTTTTCGAGACAAGGTCTCCTTATATAGGCCTGGGTAGCCTGGAACAACTCACTATGTAGACCAGGCTGGCCTTGATCTCACAGAGATCTGCCTGCCTCTTCCCCCTTGAGTGCTGGCATAGTGCACCACCACACCCAGCAGGCGCATCTTTTCTTTCTTCTCACATTTTGATGTGGCTTCTTTTCCTTTTATTTTGAAAAAGTGAAGAAAATTTAGTTCAGTAAAACAGCCAACAGAGGCTGTTCCCAACATCTGTTAGTGGAATCCTGAGATGGAATCCAACATTTTGTTTACATAAAGAGTCATTGGGTAAATGTTTTCAAAGTGAATTTTTGGAATACTATTCTCTTACTTTTTTTTTTTCTTTTTTTTTTTTTTTTTTTTTTTTTGTATTTTTGAGATAGGGTCTCCCTCTAGTCCCATCTGGCCTGGAACTCATGATGTTGACTAGGCTGGCCTTGAACTCCTCAAGAATGTTTTATGTGGGGATGGCCCAGTGGTTAAGAGCAGTGGGTGTTCTTGCAGAGGACCAGGTTTGATTCCCATATGATGGCTAACAACCATCCGTAACGCCAGTTCTAGAGGCTCTGGACTCTTCTGACCTCTGAAGGCATTGCACAACACAAGTGCACTTACATGCAGGCCATACACTCATACACGTAAAATAAAAATAAAAAATAAAAAAGAATGTTTTGAGACTGGCTTTTTTTCACTCAGCATAATGTCCTTGATATTCCTTGTTATTGTGGGTATCAATAATTTGTTCTTATTACTATTACCCTGTAAAAGCATGAGGGAACCCCTGCCCAATTTGGTTTGGATGTTGAGACTAATGATAACCTCCAAGAAGTATGAAAAGGTTTCTTATCTATATAATTGAGGCCATCAAATTTTAATTAAATTAATAATGAATAAAATACAGCATTAAGGGGCTGGAGAAATGGTTCAGCGGTTAAGAATACTGACTGTTCTTGCAGAAGACCCGGGTTCGAATCCCAGCACCCACATGGCAGCTAACAACTGTCTGTAACTCCAGTCCCAGGGGATCTGACAGCCTCTTTTGTCCTCCTTGGGCATTGCACAACACAGGTGCACTTACCTACACGCAGGCATAACACTCGTACACATAAAATAAAAATAATAAATTAAAAAAAAATAAATACAGCATTAAGGATTGAACCCAGGGCCTTGGGCATAATAAGCAAGGGCTCTACCACTGAGCTATATTCCAAGCTCCACAAGTGAGGTCTTCAGAGAGAAAGAGGGGAGAGAGAGAGAGAGAGAGAGAGAGAGAGAGAGAGAGAGAGAGAGTGAGTCGGTGGGTGGGGAGAGAGAAACAGGCCCAAGAAAGCAGGGAAGGCAGTGATCAAACTCAGTTATTGGGCTTGGTTGCAAGCACCTTTACCCACTGAGCCATCTAGCTGGTCCAACTTAATATTATTTGTTTTGAGACAAGAGTTCACTATGTGGCCCAGATTGCCTCAACTTGCAATCCTTCTGACTCTGCATCCTGACTAGCGGGATTACAGGTGTATGTGTTAACACAATGGGTTTCAAACTATTAACTTCTGAAACTATCTCTAATTCTGATCTCTCACATGAATAACCCAGCTCTGGGCTCACCCTAATAACTCCCTACTTGTATAATCTCTACTGGGAGCCCCAGTGACATTTCAGATTGAATACATTTAAAACTGAAATAATTTCCTGACTTTCAATTTTTACCTTCCCTCTGAATCCCCTAATTTACTTAACAACTGTGTCATAAAAAAAGTCAAGTTAAACAGCTGGGTGTGGTGGCGCACGTCTGTAGTCCCAGCACTTGGGAGGCAGAGGCAGGCGGATCTCTGTGAGTTCAAGGCCAGCCTGGTCTACATAGTGAATTCCAGGACAGCTGGGGCTACAGGGAGACCCCATCTCAAAAAGACAAAAAAAAAAAGTTAAGTTAAACTAGTATTTTCAAGTTTTCAGTATCTAGAAATCTTTTCCACTGATAGGGTACACTTTTTTTTGAGGGTGGTGGTGGTACTGATATACTTTGAAAGAATAGTTGTTGATCAATCATTACATTCGCCCTATCCCCTCCTTTTTCTGTCTTTTGGACAGGATAAGATAGTCTAAAAATATGAATTTCCAGATTTGGGGCTAAGGTTTTAAAAAGTACTGAATCTGCCAGGTGTGGTGGCACACACCTTTAGTCCCAGGCAGAGGCAGGCAGATCTCTGTGAGTTCAAGATCAGCCTGGTCTACATAGTAAGTTCCAGGCCAGCTGGGGCTACAGAGGAGAACTGTCTCAAAAAGACCAAAAAAAAAAAAAAAAAAAAGTACTGAATCTATAGGATAAATTCCCAAACCACTCCTGTTTTCCATTTTCCAACGGCCCCCCCACCATATTGAAAATACACTGATAAACACAAGAGCTTTTGCTAAGTAGGATTGACTTTTTGCTCTGTCTGTTCTGGCTCCTTGTCTTTTCTATCTACCACCCACTTCGGTCTTCCATCAGTGTTTGGCATTTTCTTATGGGTAAATCCATGGCTTTTTTGTTTTGGGAGCATTACTTTTTAAAAATTTTTTTTTAATTTTAAAAATTTTTTAGAAGCATTTCATTACAGCGTTAACATACTCAATAACAATTTCTAGAGCAAAGATACATCTCGTTCAACAGTGGCTATAACATTTTTAGGTTCACAGTTGAATTAATACAGTTATACAGGGGCTGGAGAGATGGCTCAGCGGTTAACACTGATTGTTCTTGCAGAAGACCAGGGTTCAAATCCCAGCACCCACATGGCAGCTAACAACTGTCCGTAACTCCAGTCCCAGGGGATTTGATGCCTCTTCTGACCTCCACAGGCATTGCACAACACTGGTGCACTTACCTATATGAAATAAAAATGAATAAATTAATTTAAAAAATACAGTTATACAATATTGAACTTAGTATAAACCCTGTAAGACATAAAATTAATGAGTTTTTAACCTTTAAAAAAGATCTCCATTTCATTTTAAAATATACTGTCTCTTACAGAAAGACTCATTGTTTTTGCTAATAACACTTAGATGTTGGCACATGCATCTCTAATCTGTATGTATCTGATTATGACTAGTCATGGTCAGTTGCACTTGGATCCTTGGCACCTGTGTATGTCTAAAAAGTCATTGGGTAGATTTCAATGGTAATGTTTATCACCTCTACTACTTAACATGATGTAAATTTTTATGCTTCCTCCTCAAATGTATTACATTTGTGTGTGTGTGTGTGTGTATGTGTGTGTGTGGCTGGCCACATGCCACAGTGCTCGAGTGGAGGTCAGAGGACACTCTCAGAAGTTGGTTCTCTCCTTCCATCAGTTCCATGTTTGAACTCAGGTCATCAGGCTTGGTGGCACGTGCCTTACTCACTGAGCCGTCTTAGTGGCCCTAAATTCACTGTCCTGTTTTCTGACAAGGTCTCCCTGTAGCCTCAGCTGGCCTAGAACTCACTGTGTAGACATGCTGGTCTTGTTGTCACAGAGAACCACCTACCTCTGCCTCCCAAGTGCTAGATTAAAGGTGTGTGCCACTGTGCCCAGCATCAAAACTCACTGTTCTTGAGGGCTATTTTTTTTCCTCTGAAGCCCTGGTTGGCCTTGAAATCATTATATAGACCAGTCTGGCCTTGAACTTGTGATCTTCTTGCCTCTGCTTCCCAGGTGCTAGGATTAGAGGGATGTGCACCCACAATGCCTGGTTAATTAGTACTTAAATGTTGATGTTGACTCCTATGTCTCTTTTTTATTTTATTATCTTTATGGTTTTTTTATGTGTATGAGTGTATTGCCTGCATGTATGTAAGTGCACCTGTGTTGTGCAATGCTGCAGAGGTCAGAAGAGGGTGCTGGGTCCCCTGGAACTAGAGTTACGAATGGTTGTGAGCTGCCATGTGGGTGCTGGGAACTGAACCCTGGTCCTCTGCAAGAGCAGCCATTGCCCTCAATCGTTGAGCCATCTCTCCAGCCCCTAATCTATGTCTCTTGATACAATATACATGTTTCTCTCGTTTCAGAACCAAATTTACAACCACCAGATGAATCTCTCTACCTGGATAGTAGCTAAAATTCCATAGCCTTTAGAAATCTAAAGCCTCCTTCTCACTATCATTCACATGGGGATAAAGGACTGAAGCACTGCTATCCTTGAGCTCAGTTCATTCATTAAAGTGTTAACATTTCTATAGTGTGGTGGAAATCTCACCAATCACTAGTCAGTCTCTAGGACACTTTCCCCTAATATTTAGCCAATGCACAACATGACACTGATCTGCAATTTTCCCTTTACCATTACATACACTCACCTTGTAACAGTCATTAGCAATGAGCTGTAGGAGACTGAAGGACTCACCAGAGGTTTCCATCTTGAGATAAAGTTCCCAAGCTAATCTTGGTTTCTTATTCATGATATCTACAAAAGGAAGCAAAGATTCATGCTATTTGTTTATTTATGACAATGTCTCACTATATTACTTGAGCTGGTCTCCAACCCAAGATCCTCCAGCCTTGAACCTCTCAAATGCTGATATTTTAAGAGTGTGCCACAGTGCTCAGCTTAGGCCTTTTTTTTGTTTGTTTGTTTGGGTTTTTTTTGTCTTTTTGGAACAGGGTCTCCCTGTAGCCCCAGCTGGCCTGAAACTCACAAAGATCTACCTGCCTCTGCCTCCCAAGTGCTGGGATTAAAGGCATGCACTACCATGCCAGGCTTGTTTTATTTTTAAGATTTTATTTTATTTTTATGTATCTGCAGAGGTCAAAAGAGGACATTAAATCCCCTGGAGCTGGAGTTACAGGTGGCTGTGAGCTGCCCAACATGGGCCCTGAACTTTCGATCTCTGCAAAAGCAGCAAGCTCTCTTAAGCACTGAGCTATGCCTCTAGTCCCTAGACATAGGTTTTTTAAATGAATATGAAAGGACTGCTGCACTTTGTTGTTCCATGGACTTGGATTCATATCCCCAAATAACAAAAGAGTGGTAGAATACTTGGTACTTGCAATGTTGTCAGTAAGCAGACTCCTATCAGAAGTCAACCAAACTTAAAACATCTGTCATGAAACTGCTTCTTAAGACTGGGTTGATTTCTGGAAGTTCCCACTTTACTAACTTGCTTTAAAGAGCATGGTTTCCGCTCATTCAGTCCTGCTTAGTTCAATGCACACATGGATATCATTGGTAGGCAGGTGTGGCACATGCTTGTAATCCCAGCAATTGGAAGGTTAAGGCAGCAGGATGAGGAGTTTAAGGACAGCTTGGGCTCTATGGGGAGACTGTCTCAAAAAACCTTTAGCACTATCAACAAAAAGAATATTTAATTGCTAAATTTGTCCTGTGACTATTAAAACTTACTGAACATTTTAAATACCTTTTTAAAGTTTTTATTTATTATGATGTGTGTGAGGGGTACATGCCAGGGTTTATGTGTGGTCAGACGACAAACTTGGAGGTGTCAGTTTTCTCCTTCACCTTTATGTGGGATCCAGGGGAGAAGCACTATACCTGAGGAGCCATCTTGCTGTCCCTCAGTGAACATTTTAAATCTGACTGAAAGGTAAACATGCCTGCTCAAGAGACTATACAGACAGACGCCTGGCACTTGTGCCCAGGTGAGGGACCATACAGACTGCAGCCTCACCCAGTTCTCCTTCCTTCACTTTTATACTTCCCTTACTTAATATCTAATTTTAACTTACTAGACCATCTCTGTCCCTATGTCTTTATTATTTTGTTTCTCTATTTTTGTTTATGGTTTTAAAGATTTTTAAAAAAATTTATGATGTGTGTGTATCTGCATGTGTATGTGCATGTACCTGTGAAGGCCAGAAAAGGGTACTGGAATTCCCTGGAGCTGGAGTTACAGGCAGTTGTCAGTTGCCCAGTGTGGGTGCTGGGAACTGAACTCAAGAGCTTTTAACTGCTAAGACATCTCTTTAGCCTAGTCTATTTATTTGTTTGTTTATTTATTTATTTATTCTAGACATGGTCTCACTATGTAGCCCTGGCTAGCCTGAGATCTATTTGCCTTTGCTTCCTAACCAGAATTTTTTTTAAAAGTAGGTCTTATTTAGCCCAGGCTAACCACAAACTCACTATAGAGCTAAACTTCTGATGTTTATAACTCTACCTCATAAGTGTCAGTGCTTTTTTTTTTTAATAGGCTTTCCTGAAGAACATAAGTGGGCCTATAGTTGGGGTCTCCCTGTCTCAGACTCTTGAATGCTAGGCTTATTTTACATTGTCTGCCTGCATTCCTTTATCTCTTTTATTCTCTCCTTAGCTGCAGCTGACTTACATCCTCCCCTTGTTTTTACTGTTCTACCTTCCATTTACTTTCCCCTCTTCCATCTCTTCTGATGCTCCAACTAGTTGCTAGTCTTACACAGCCATTCCAATTCCATCCCTGTCCTCTGTAACTAACATCATAGAACACAACATACTTATCTTGTTCTTTACTGCCCTAAAATTATTGGAGCTGAAGAGCAGCTGTCTTTAATTGACCATTGCTCTATGTTCATAGTGGGCATATCCACAGGTTACAGTTGCTTCTTCAGTTAGTAGCTCAGAGTAGAGCTGCACATTGAGTCTGGTGCTCTGAGCATGTGGGCTGAGGGTTTATCTACTGAGCTATGGTCCAGTGGGGAAGAAACAAAATCTCAACTCTGTAGCAACCTAGTCCCATAGAACAGGTAGATCTCTATGAGATCGAGGCCAGCTTGATGGACATTGTGAACTCCAGGCTAGCTGTGGCTATAGGGAGATCCTGTCTCAAAAATAAAACAAAACAAAACACAACAAAAGACAGAAAAGAATAGGAAAAAGGAAAAAGACTTCAAAGTATAGGCATAGGTAAGGCCTTTCTCAAAAGCTCCAATAGTGACAGGGCATGGTGGTACACACCTTTAATCCCAGCACTCAGGAGGCAGAGGTGGGCAGATCTCTGTGAGTTCAAGGCCAGCTTGGTCTACATAGTGAGTTCTAGGCCAGCTGGAGCTACAGGAACACCCTGTCTCAAAAAAAAAAAAAGAGACCAAAACAAACAAACAAAAACTCCAGTAGTTTAAAAAATGATGCCAAGACTTAACAAATGGGATTGCACGAAATTAAAATGTTTCTGCACGGCAAAAGAACAGCTGAATAAAGAAACAGCCTTATAGGCACTGGGGCGATGGCCCATCAGTCAAGAGCACTGGCTGTGCTTGGAGAGGACCCAGGTTCGGTTCCCAGCACCCACATAGCGGCTAGCAATTATCCATAACGCCAGTTCCAGAGGATACAATACCCTCTTCTGACCTCCCAGGGCACTGCATGACACGGATGCCCTTACAGGCATGCAGGCAATACACTCATACACATAAAATAAAAATAGTAAATAAAATATTTTAAAAAACAAACAGCAGCCGGGCGTGGTGGCGCACGCCTTTTATCCCAGCACTCGGGAGGCAGAGGCAGGTAGATCTCTGTGAGTTCAAGGCCAGTCTGGTCTACATAGTGAGTTCCAGGCCAGTTGGGACTACAGGGAGACCCTGTCTCAAAAAGACAAAAAAAAAAAAAAAAAAAAAAAAAAAAAAAAAAAAAAAAAACAGCTTATGGGATGGGAGAAAATATTTGCTAGCTATATGTCTGACAGAGGATTAATGTCTAGAATACATAAAGAGGTAAAAAAAAAAACTGCCAAAAATCTGAACAATCCAATCAATAAATGGGCTAATGCACAGTTCTCAAAGGATGAGGTACAATGGCCTAAAAACATGAAAAATGTTCAACATCCTTAGCAATCAGGGAAATGAAAATTAATTACATTGAGAGTCCATTTCATCTCAGTCAGAATGATTATCAAACAAAATAACAATAAATACTGGTGAGGGTATGGGAAAGGGGAACCTTTATGCACTGCTGGTGGTAATATAAATTAGTTCAGTCACTACCAAAATCTCAAAGTAATAGGATTGTCTCTCATGCACAAGGCCCTGTGTTTGATCCCTAGCACCACAAAACAATAACAACAACAACAAAACAATTAAAAAACAGAACTACACTATGACCCAGCTCTACCACTTCTGGGAATATACTCAAAGGAGCTTAAGTCTATATACCACAGAGATAAGTGCATATCCATATTTCTTGCAGCATAGCCAAGTTATGGAATCAGCCTAGGTGTCCATCAACAGATGAATGGATAAAGAAAAGTGTGGCACCCACACACAATGGCTGTAAAGAATATAATTATGCTGTTTTCAGAAAATGGATGCAACTTGAGATCACCATATCGATCATGATATTGAAACTCAGAAAGACAAATATTACATGTTTTCTCTCATTTGTGGATCCTACATTTTAACAGACATGAAACCATTTATACATATGATATGAAAGGAGAAGGAAGACTGGGGAGGGAAGGAAACTAGTGAGAGGGCATGTGGTGGTGAGCATGGTCAAAGTACATAAATACTTGAAACTATAACCCAGCATCATGTACAATGATTATATGCCAAAAAAGATGAGCAAAAAGGGGGAAGGTAATAAGAGGGAGAGAGAGAGAGCTATATAATACATAAAAATTACATTTTGACATGTTGCCACTTTTCAGGTGTGAAAAATGAAAAGGTAAAATCAATGTGACAGCACCATTTCCCCAAAAACACTCAAAAAAGAGAACTTGGAAGCTTTAATAAAGCTAAAAGAAGTTGACAGTTTTCAGGAACAGCAGTGGTAGGCCAGTGCTGCATGCTTGAACTAATCATGGGGTTAAAGTTGCACATCATATTTACATAGCAACCCTTACAGAGAAGCATAAACAATCCTTACTTTCAGTGTTTACCCATTCTCTTGAACAAAACAGAAAATAAGCTTAGAAAACGCTTAATGTCACTTCCAAGCAGATTCTGTGATGGAAAAGAGAAAGAGGATTCTTGTTGAAACATTAAAAAAGAAAACTCACAGCACCGAGCTAACCAACTGAGGTAAATGTAATCATTTTTCAACTTCTCACTTTGGATCAAGAGGAACACCTACAACAAGAGAAGAGGAAGGAAATGAGCATGAGGCTGGTTTTGCAGTCAGAGTATACATCATCATCGTGTCTGAGGCTGATCGTACTGTAACTTTATGGTATAATAATAAAACTGAAGAATTCAATTGAATTATTTTGGATAACTAAAACAAGTCAATCTATGGAGTTTAAATGCAGGGCAGTGGTAACCCTGGAGAAGAGGACTGACTCACAAAGGAGAGAAGAAAGAGAATTAGGATAATACTGTTTTGTAATCTGAATACTGATTGTAAGAATTATGACCATTTGTAAAAATCCAACTGGGATGTTTATGACTTGTATACTTTTTTGCACATGTTATATAACTCCAGCTAGCTGGCCTCTGCCTCCCATCTTACTGTAAGAGTATAGAGGGATTACAGATATGTACCACTACATCTGGTCTTATTCATTCATTCATTCATTCATTCATTTATTTTTTGAGACAGGGTCTCCCTATAGCCCTAGCTGACCTGGAACTCACTATGTAGACCAGGCTGGCCTTGAACTCAGAGATCCGCCTACCTCTGCCTCTGCCTCCTGAGTGATAGGAGTAAAGGGGTGCGCCACCACACCTGGCCCACATCTGGTCTTCTTAATGTTCCATAATAAACATGGGTTGTCAGGCTTGAATAGTTAGCACCTTTTCCTACTGAGTCATCTCTGGCCCCTGGTTTTCTGTTTTTGTTTTTAAAGATTTTATTTTTAATCATGTGTATGTGTGTGTATGTGCATATGAGTGTGGAGTTACAGTGGTTGTAAGCTGCCTGACATGAGTGCTGGGAACCAAACTCTGGTCTGCTGAGCCATCTCTTTAGCACCTCCCCCCTTTTAAAAAATGTTTAATTATTTTTATTTTATGTGTATGAGTATTTTGCCTGCATGTATGTAAGTGCACCTGTGTTGTGCAATGCCCTCAGAGGTCAGAAGAGGGCATCAGATGCTCCTGAAACAGGATTTACTTGACACTGGAATTACAGATGGTTGTTACACACCATGTGGGTGCTGGAAATCAAACTCAGGTCCTCTGCAAGAGCAGACAGTGCTCCTAACTGCTGAGTCATCTCTCTAGCCTGCCCCATTTTGGTTTTTAAGGTAGGGTCTTACTATGTAGTTCAGGCTAGTCTGCTACTGAGTCCTGGAATTATAGGCGTGGGGCACCAGTCCCTAGCTAAATCAGTCTTGAATCATCCTTACCCATGACCATTTTATTTAAGTGAGGAAAAGCTAAGGATGCTTTTTAGATACAATCATTCAAATGCCTTAAAAGCAGGCACTGTAATAAGTATCATCATGCTAAAGAGGGGGGAAAAAAAACCCAAAACAGGTACTCACCTCCTCACCCTCACTGGTATTGCCTGTTGCAGCTTTGGCTTGGGCATAATTAAAGTTAAAGATGTCATCATTATAGAAGTAACTCTGAAAAACATGCCAAGAGCAGGTGGCACTGTTAATGCATAAAATGTAAAATCATTAGCTACACTGGGTAAACATAAAAATAATCTTTTTGAATAAGATGGTTTGGGATGTTCTGTGTGATACATACACACACACACACACACAATCAATTTTTTTAAATGTATTATATTTGAGGAGAAAGCATGGAAATTTATGTCATGCTAATTAGCAGAGGTGATAAACATTAACACTGAAATCTACCCGATGACTTTATAGATGTGTGTGTGTGTGTGTGTGTGTGTGTGTGTGTATCACACAGAACATCCCAAACCATCTTATTCAATTATACAGCGACTTCCCAGTTGGGAACCTTCCATAGCCTCCCTCCCCCCACTAGAGCCCTTATACTCTGATAATTTTATGTCTTACAGGGCTTATACTGAATTCAATATTGTATAACTTTATTAATTTAACAGTGAACCTAAACAATTTTTTTTTTGAGACAGGGTCTCCCTGTAGCCCCAGCTGTCCTGGAACTCACTATGTAGACCAGGCTGGCCTTGAACTCACAGAGATCCGCCTGCCTCTGCCTCCCAAGTGCTGGGATTAAAGGCCTGCGCCACCACGCCCGGTGCAAACCTAAAATTTTATAGCCACTTTTGAAAGAGATGTATCTTTGCTCTGGAAACTATTATTGAGTATGTTAAAGCTGTAATGAAATGCTGCTTCTAAAAAAATCTTTTTGTTTAAATTTATTTTTATTGTGTATTAAGATGCACACATGCTTGCACTGTGTTTGTGTATGATGCAAGGGGGGAGTGGGTAATGTGTGTGCAGTGGCACATGTGTGCTGGTCAGAGAACAACTTGGCCAAGTTAGTTCTTCTCTCTACCTTTACATGAGTTCTAGGGATTAAACCTGGGTCACCAGACTTGCACAGCAAGTGTCTTTACCAGCTCAGCCATCTCACAGGCTCCATATAAATAATCTCAAAAATTAGATTGGTGTCACTTATATTACCAGAGTAAGAAGAGTTTAAGTTCTTTTTGTAGCTTTGTTTGGCCTTGAACTCTCAATTCTTCTGCCTTGGCCATTATGCCTATTTGACACTGAATGTAAAATGTTTCATAAGCAAAGTCACGTAGATACTTTATACTTATATCACCAGAGTAAGAAGAGTGTAAGTTCTTTTTGTAGCTTTGTTTGGCCTTGAACTCTCAATTCTTCTGCCTTGGCCATTATGCCTATTTGACACTGAATGTAAAATGTTTCATAAGCAAAGTAACGTAGATACTTTATACTGACCTTAAATGAGTTGAGGTATATCAAGACATCATCAAATTGCTTCAGCAGGAAGAAACAGGATGCCATGCACTGCCTCCCTGGGATTGTATCTGGAATGGGATGGGAAAAGGGAGTTGTCTATAGTTAAAATTTGAATTATTGTAGAACTTAGAAATAGGAATGTGACTGGGCATGGTGGCACATACCCTTTAACCCCAGCACTCAGGAGCAGAGGCAAGTGTATCTCTCTTTGAGGTCAGCCTGGTCTACATAGGGTTATAGGCCAGCCAGGAATACATAGTGAGACCTGCCTCAAAATAAATAAAGAAAATAAATGCATTCCAATATATCTTTCTGGATTCTGAAATTGTAGATTCTGGGCTAGAGAGATAGCTTAGTGGTTAAGAGCACTGATTGCTCTTCAGAGGACCCAGGTTCAGTTCTAAGCACCCACATGGTGGCTAACAACTGTCCTTAACTCCAGTTAAGTTCCAGGATCCAATGCCCTTTCTGACCTCCATGGGCATTGTACAACATGGGTGGTGCACTTACATACATGTAGGCAATACACTCATACACATAAAATAAAAAGAATAAATATCTTTTAAAAAATTCTGCTGGCTACAGACTCGAAGGTTAGCTCCCAGAATCCAAAACAACTTGCTTTTAGCTGCTGACTCATCTCTCCAGCTCCTGCCCCCCTCAGTTTTTTAATAGAAAAAACATAAGACAAACTCAGTGTGTTGGCACACACCTGCAATCCCAGGATTTGGGACTTTATTTATTTATTTATTTATTTACTTACTTTTTTTGGGTTTTTTTGGCCCCAGCTGTCCTGGAACTCACTATGTAGACCAGGCTGGCCTCGAACTCACAGAGATCCACCTGCCTCTGCCTCCCAAGTGCTGGGATTAAAGGCGAGTGCCACCACACCTGGCTTTATTTTAATTTTTTTTTTTTTTGTCTTTTTGAAGCAGGGTCTCCCTGTAGCCCCAGCTGTCCTGGAACTCACTATGTAGACCAGGCTGACCTTGAACTCACAGAGATCCGCCTGTCTCTGCCTCCCAAGTGCTGGGACTACAGGCGTGTGCCACTACATCTGGCTATTTTACTTATTTTTAAAAAGATTTTATTTGGGGCTGGAGAGATGGCTCAGGGGTTAAAAGCAATGGCTACTCTTGCAAAGGACCCAAGTTTGGCTCCCAGCACCCACAATCGTCCATAACTCCCATTCCAGGAGATCCAACACCCTTTTCTCACCTCTGTGGGCATTGCACACACAGGTACACTTACATACATGAAGGCAAAACATTCAAACACATAAAATTTAAAAAAGATTTTATATTAATTTGATTTATGTGTTATGTGTGTGTCTGTGTATGAGCATATGTATGCAGGTGCCCACGTAAGAGGGTGTCAGATTCCCTGGAGCTGGAGTTACAGGCAGTTGTGAGTGGCCTGATGTGGGTGCTGGAAATCAAACTCAGGTCCTCTACAAGAGCAGTACAAGCTGTTTACTTCTGAGCCATCTGTCTATCTGGTCTCTTTTTTTAGTAGATTTTCTCTCCCTCCCTCCCTCCCATCTCTCTCTCTCAGTCCACCTTGTTTGAAGAAGAATCTCTTTGTTTGCCAGTGCACTGTGTATGCCAGGCTACCTGGCTCACAGGCCTCTGGGGTTCTCCTCCCCTTTTGCTGTAGGAATACCTCACTACCATTCTCAGCTATGTGGGTTCTGGGGATTTGAACTCAAGCCTTCATTTTGTAAGTCAATTTTGCTGTACCCTCAGAGCCATCTCCATAGTCCTTTTTTCTCTCTCTCTCTCTCTCTCTCTCTCTCTCTCTCTCTCTGTGTGTGTGTGTGTGTGTGTGTGTGTGTGCATGTGTGCCACATCATGTGTGGAGGTCAGAGGACAACTTCAGAGTTAGTCCTTGCCTTCCACCTCGTTTGAGACAGGGTCTTCTTATAGGCTGCTGTTGTACACACAGGCTGGTCTGCCCAGAAGCTTCCTGATTCTCCTGTTTCCACCTCCCATCTCACAGTAGGAGGACTGGGATTACAGGGGCACATTACTGTGTCCAGATTCACATGGGTTCTTGGGATCCAAAGTCAGGTCCTCACACTTGCACCTCAAGTGATTTACTTATAGAACCATCTCAGTCTGGGATTATTTTATAATCACTCAAATAAAATTAGGCTGTTATTGAGTTGTGGTGGCATATGCCTATAATCTCAGTACTTGGGAAGCTGAGGCAGGAAGATCACAAATGCAAAGCCAGTCAGAGTTACATAGCGAGTTCCAGGTCAGCTCAATACTACTGTGCTGGATAGCTTCAGTGGTCAACTTGACACACCTGGGAAGTGGGAACCTCAATTGGTGAATTTTCGCTTGGATTGGCCCATGGGCATATCTGTGAGGCATTTTCTTGATTGTTGAGTGATGTGGAAGGGCCCAGAGGGCACACCCCACTGTGGGAGGTGCCACCCCTGAGCAGGTAGTCTTGTGTTGTATAAGAAAGTAGGCTGAGCACAAGCCAGAGGAACAAGCCAGTAAAGCAGCACTTCTCTGCTCCTGTCACCAGGTTCCTGACTGACTTTGCTCAATGATGTACTGCTGTAAAGCTCTAAGATGAAATAAACTCTTTCCTACCCAGGTTGGATTTGGTCAGAATGATTTAACACAGTAATAGAAAGCTAAAGTGAGACTCTTGTCTCAGAAAAAAAAGGGGAAATTTAAAGGTAAATGACTTGCTGGGGGAAAAAAAAAATCTGTAACACAACAAAAGGTTAATACATAAGAAGCTGTTTGAAAATTCAGTAAGAACTAACATTTCATATCTAAAATGAACTTAGATTTAAAACTCCCAGGAACTAAAGAGTAAATTATTCCCCTTATTTTTCCATACTTTCTTAGCTGACATGGTCAAAAAGGTTTATTTTAATATCCCCACCACCACAGGGTCTCCTGTATCCCAGACTGGCCTTGAGCTCACTATGGAGCCAAGGATGACCTTTAATTTCTGATCATCCTTCCTCTATCTCCCAAGGGATGAATTATTATAGGTACCAACCACTATGCCTGCTTCTATTGGAGCTAGGGTTCAAATCCAGGGCTTTGTGCATGCTAGGTGAGCATTCCACTGAATAAGCTACAACCCCAGCCTTCTCTCCAGTTCTGCCCCCTTGCTTTATAATGAGAAGCATAACATAAAACCCTAGACAGAGGATCGGACTCCACTAGTCAGTATTGCCCAACTCCAATTCTGAATTGTGTTCAGCAGCACAGATCACAGACATACCACATTCACTAGCTGAACCTCCTACCAATTGGAAGAACTGCTGGGCAATTTTCATATGATCCCTCTGCAAAAAAAAAAAAAAAAAGAGACAGAGAAGTCAGGCTCAAATACCTTATTTATATTATACTTATGACTCTAATGCATTTGCCTTTATGTCATAACATAGATCTTTGCTTAAAATCATAGCCCAAAATTTTTATTAGTATAAGAACCCAGAAAACTACAACCTGACACCACAGGAAAACTTATGTAGGGTCAATTAGAGAAGAAGGGAAAAAAATCCAATCTCAAAATTCTGTCCTAAAATACATGCATTAAATGCATTTATACATTCAACAAATATTTAATATTCTCTGGCCATGTCTGAACTTTGCATAAAAACTATAGGTATAATAAGGATTATTAGTTAGACTTATTTATTTTACTATTATTATTTGGTCTTTTTGAGACAGGGTCTCCCTGTAGCCCCAGTTGACCTGGGACTTACTATGTAGACCAGGCTGGCCTTGAACTTACAGAAATCTACCTGCTTCTGCCTCCCAAGTGCTGGGATTAAAGATGTGTGCCACCATGCCCAGCTAGACTCATTTATTTATGCACTATTTACTGCCTATATATAAGGTACCATGGGGAGACTTAGAGATAAAAAGACTTTGTCATACCCTTGTGTTTCATAGACCCATATGCCATATTAGCATGGATAAAAGCCTTCATTTATCATCTATCTATTATCTAGATAGCTAGATAGCTTTGAGAAAGGGTCTGACTATGTAGCTCAGGCTAGGGAGATTCTTGGTTCAGTCTCCAGTACCTTAAAAAGCTTTTCTAGAGAAAGAATGTCTCCACTGTATAAATGCCAAATCTAAAGTCGATGTTTGTCAGTAAAGAGAAGCACTATAGCCAGGCGTGGTGGCACACACCTTTAATCCCAGCAGAGGCAGGTGGATCTCTGTGAGTTCAAGGCCAGCCTGGTGTACATAGTAAGTTCCCGGCCAGCTGGGGCTACAAGGAAACCCTGTCTCAAAAAGACCACCCCCCCAAAAAAAGAGACACACTGTATTAAATTAGAGTACTTTAAAACAAATAGTAATTTACAGCTCACCTGGAACAGGCCACAGCTCGCCTGGAACAGGAAGAGGGAGAATAAGAGATAGCCCCAGCTGTCCTGGACTTTACTATGTAGACCAGGCTGGCCTTGAACTCACAGAGATCCACCTGCCTCTGCCTCCCAAGTGCTGGGATTAAAGGCATGTGCCACCACGCCCAGCAACACCACTGTTTTTATATGGGACCTGGACTGGAGGATTTGTAGACATAAAAGGAATTGTGGGAACTGTGGATGTAGCTCAGTGTACTTGCCTGCCATGCTTAAGGCTCTGGGTTTGGTCCTGAGCATCTCCCTCCTAATAAAGTGAAAGGACCTGCAGCAGAGCCCACTTAGTCATAGGTTACACTTCAGCATCTATTATGGTCCTTACATATCTAAAGTTTTGCAAAACATGGATTAGCATGATTTCATACTCACCGAACCCATTTCCTGGCCAAGGGCTGCATTGACAACTCCCTTGAGAATATACTCCTGGAAACAAGCAATCATTCTGATTAAGGGACTGTGGAGCCAGGAGAATCTTTCTTGTTAATCTCTTGCATCAACTCAATACTTCATACAGTCACTTTCCCCTGCTACATTCCTGGCTTAAATGAAGGGGTTGGGAGTCTGATTTAATTTCCAACAGGCAAGTGTTTGTAGAGTAGAATTTATCATATTTGTAAACTCTCAATCTTAAGCAGAAATGACTCAGTTGGAGGCTGGGGAAATAGCTCAGCTGGCAAAGGACTTGGCACACAAGCATGAAGACTCCAGTTCAATCCCCAGAATCAAATGTAAAAGCCGCTAGTAATCCTAGTGCTGGGGAAGCAGAGACAGGTGGATCCTGGGCTCATGGCCAGCCAGCCTAGCCTAATCGGTGAGCCCCAAGCCAGAGGGAGAGACCCTGTCTCAAAAAAATACATGGACAGTACTTGTGGAGGTTGTCCTCTGACCTCCACATGCATATGCACACACGTGTACCGGCATGCACATGTACACACACATCTGTGTACACACAAAGAACTCAGTGGACACTCTAGGTACTAAATTTTGTTTTACTTCAATTTGGGCCGTGTTAACCAGTAAATGTTTATGCAATCATTTTTATCATCTTAGCAGCCTGTGCTATCCTCTGTGACCACACCGTATAGATTATGGCCCCTCCACTGTTACAATAACTATGCTTTGCTGATGATCTTTTTCCTAAATGTCCTCTGATACCTACTTATAAGGTTGATCTTTTGGAGTCCTGTGGCCCCATCTGTATCCTTTTTTTTTTTTTAAGTCTTGGCTCAATAATTTCTTTAGCAGTATGAATAACTTCTCTTAAGAGAAATTCAAAATAGCTCATTCAAAATAGCACAAAAGGTGTTAAAGTTTTTAGTACACTTGAAAAATATACCTGTTTAGACTCCATCAAGTCTGAAGTATTTTTCTTCTTTTTTTAAAAAAAAACATTTGTTTATTTTGTGTGTGTGCGTGTATATACATGTACCATGCCATACATGTGTCAGAAGAAAACTTGTAGGATTTGTTCTCTCCTACTATGAGGATTGAACTCAGGGAATCAGGCTTGATGCCAAGTACCTTTACCCACTGAGCCATTTTTCCAACCCCATTCAGTGGTTTTTCAATAAAAGGAAGGTCTACTATGTACTTAGCACACCCACTGTTGGAGATATACCACCTAGGCACAGTCCCTGACCTCAAGGGTTAATGACTTAATGGGGGAGAAAGACAAGTTATAGATAATTGTATCAGTGAGAAGATTATGTAGTTGTTAGTTTCATTAGAATTATGTATTTTAATATTTTCAAACTTTAGCCTTTGGGGGTATCAAATATATATTAAGGGAGTTTAAGCCCAGAACATACATTCTTACACTGAAGTCCCACAAAAGAGTAAACATATAGGCTGTTTTCTTGAATTCTACAAATAGGCATCTTCTCTGGTCAGCCTTATACCTGTGTGTCTGAAGTGTTGCTTTCCATAGCTCTTGCTTAATAGAATGGACAACATTTTCAGTTACCTGGGGTGTGGTAGGTTCCAGATCCTTAATTAAATTATAAGCTTCCTGTACATCATCTGAAATACAAGAAATAAGTAGTTATTCGAGCTCATCCTCCAGAAAAGTTCTCTGAAACATCACAAGAAAGTTAAGGTTCTTTTTTTTTTTTCTTTTTGAGATAGGGTCTTCCTGTAGCCCCACCTGGCCCGGTACTTGCTATGTAAACCAGGCTGGCCTTGAACTCACAGAGATCTGCCTGCCTCTGCCTCCTGGGATTAAAGGCCTGCACCACCATGCCTGGCTATGCTGGCTATGATTCTACAATATTCATACACTCATACAAAATAGGGCTGAGGAATGTAGCTTAGTGATAGAGTGCTTTACAACAGGTGCAAGGCCACATGTAAATGTATATATATTTACAGAAAAAATGTTTTATCTATCCTTTAATTCTCCATGAAGTTCAAGCTTGTATAGTTATCCTAAAGAAAACAATTATCTTCTTTCTTTTAAAAAAAGTGTGTGTATGTGTGTGTGTGTGCATACATGCACATATGTGGAGGTCAGAGAACAACTTCAGGTTTCATCCTTAGGAACGCAGTCCTTCTCCTTTGAGACAGAACCCCTCATTAGCCTAGAGCTCACCAATTAGGCAAGACTGGCTGGTCAATGAGCCCCAGGCATCCTGCTGTTTCCTCACCCCTGTGCTGGGATTGCAAGTGCATGCCACTACACCTAGCATCTTTACAGGGATTCTAGGAATGGAATTCAAGTCCCCATAGCTTATAGACTGAGCTATTCCCTGGCCCAAGGAAACAATTATCTTTAGAAAATTCATATTGAGCCGTGAGACATCCAAAAAATGTCCAAGTTAAGAATATGAACCAGGTATTATATATCAATTACATTG